CTCAAATCTGTAATGACCAGTAACCATAGAACACAAGAATTTTTTGCTTGACAGTGTACTATAACAAGGAATTTTGAATTTATAGACCTGGAGTTTCTCTAGCAGGTTGCCTTCATATGAAAGTTCAATTAATTTACAATGTTAAATCAGAATTTTTTTAAGTCTAGGAAATGTAAGACAGGCTAATAGTAAAAATGCATTTGTTTTCTGGGATAGGCTGGTAAGAATAATATTTACTGTGAAGTTTATGTGGAGAAAGTACGAGTAAAATAGGAGAACACTGCTGCCTTTTATTTACTTACTGTTCACATCCTTTACAGTTTTTATTGATGTGCAAGCAGTCTTTGTACATTGTAGATATCAATCCCCTGCCAGTTGTAGACATTATAAATACTGTATCTCCTTCCAGAATTCACCTGTCTCAACTTTGTTCATGGTGTTCTTCCTGAGATGGAAGTTCTTAATTGATATTATGAAACCAAAATTAAGAATATTAATTCAGCCGAAACCGGTTTGGCTCAGTGGTACAGAGTCAGTCTGTGGACTGAAAGGTCCCGGGTTCAATTCCGTCAAGGGCATGTATTGTACATTGGTTGCGGGCACATCCCCGGTAGGGGGTGTGCAAGAGGCAGCTGGTCAATGTTTCTCTCTCATTGACGTTTCTAGCTCTCTATCCCTCTCTCCTCCTCTCTGTAAAAAATCAATAAAAAATATATTTTAAAAAAAGAATATTAATCCATATAACTTAAGTTTTTGCACCCTTAAGAAGAGTTACTCTACCCCTAAGTCACAAATCTTTTTCTGCATTTTTTAAAATATTATTTCAGTTTTACCCTTCTCATCAAAGTCCATTGTACCTCAAATTTGCCTGTGGCGAGAGGTAGGAAGGCAGCTCAAGTTTTCTATGTAACTAAGTCAATTTTCAGCAATTTATCTTATGAATCAGGGGTTAACAAACCTTTCTTTAAAGGGCCAGGCAGCTAATATTTTAGGCATTGGGGATGTACTGTCTCTGTTGCAACTACTCAATTCTGCTTTTGTAGTGTGAAGGCAATCACAGACAATATGTAAACAAAAGATTGAGGACCACTGGCCTAGAGGTTTCTAGAGAATATCATCCCTTTAGCTCTATAATATTTTGTATAATAGTATATCAGATATGTCTTTGCAAATAGTTTGTCCAGTCTGTGGCTTGTCTTCTCATTCTCTTGATGGTGTCTTTTGCATAGTATCTTAATTTATTGAAGTCATATCTCCCTCCTCCCCCACTACCCTTTCCCCAGATTGTGCTTGCTGTTGCATCTAAAAATGTCATCACCAGCCCTAGCCAGACTGGCTCAGTGGATAGAGCATTGGCACAGACTAAACTTGCAGGGGTCCTCAAACTTTTTAAAGTGGGGGCCAGATCACGGTCCCTCAGAGAGCTGGAGGGCCGGACTATATGAACTACTAATTCCTACTGTAACACCTCGGCTGCGCTCACTGCCCAAAAAACCTGGCGGGCCGGATCAGACTCCTCTGCGGGCCGCATGTGGCCCGCGGGCCATAGTTTGAAGACCCCTGGACTAAAGGGTCCTGGGATCAATTCCAGTCAAGGGCACACACCTCAGTTTTCAGCTCCATCCCTGACCCTGGACTGGGTGCATGTGGAAGGCAACTAATCTATATATCTCTCTCACATCAATGTTTCTCTCTGTCTCTCTCCCTTTCTTCCACTCTCTCTAAAAATCAATGGAAAGATATATTCAGGCGATGATTAACAAAAAAATAAAAATAAAACAATTAAAAGTCATCACCAAACAAGAACATTTTAGTTTATAGTTTTTCATTTTACATGGACATCAATGATCCATTTTGAGTTGGTTTTTGTGATGTTTGTAAGCTTTATATCTACACTTACTTTTGTCCTTGTGGATATCCAGTTGCTCCAACACCATTTGTTGAAAAGACTATCTTTGTCCTTTGTCAAAGATTAATTGACTATATTTGAGTGAATCTATTTCTGAGCCCTCTATTCTGTTCCATTTATCTATTTTGCTATTCTTTCACCAACACCACTTTCTGGATGACTATAGTTTTATAGGAAGCCTTGATGTTGGGTAGTGTTTTCCAACTTTATTCTTTTCCTTCAATATTGTGTTGGCTATTTGGGGTCTTTTGCCTCTCCATGGAAACTTTAGAATCAGTTTGTCAATATCCACAAAATTTGTCACTGGGATTGTGATTGGGATTGTTTCAAATCTATAAATCAAATTTGAAAAAAACTGAAATTTTGACAATATTGAGTTTTCTTATCCATGAACATGGAATATTTCTCCAACTAATTTTGTTTTCATTTCTTTCAAAGGAGTTTTGTAGTTTTCCTTATATAGATCTTTTCATTTGAGTCTTAGAACTCAATTTTTAAGGTTCAAAAAATCACCTAGATTTTCTAATTGCTATTGTATTGAATTTATAGATTAATTTGAAGGGAATTGAATTTTTACCGTGATAAGTTGCCCGCATTCATGAATATATTATCTCTGCAATTACTGTATTCAGATATTTTATGTATTGTAATGGCGTTTTTGAAAGTTTCTCTGAGAAGGTCTTTCACATTCTACCTTAGAATAATTGCTGGATAATTTCTAATTTTTGTTTCTATTGTGAATAATTTATCTTTCTTAAGAAGTTGTTAAATTGATCTTACATACAACAACCTTACTGAATATTTTAATTAGTTTTGAAAATTTATGAATTCTATTAGTTTTCTATGTAGACCACTATATCATCAATTAGTGAGAATTTTATCTTTTTTTCCTAATCCATCACCTCTTTATTTATATGTACTAATTTAATCTGAAAATTGTATGTTGGGACAAAAAGATTAAAATTTAATATTTATTATATTTTTAAAGCCTTATAAAACAAATAGAAGAAAATGGCATCTAAATTGTTTAAAGAAAATGTGCATCAACAAAATCAAAATTTTTCTAAAAACAATGGTAACAGGCAACACATATTCTATGATAACTATTTTGATGTCTATAAACTCTTTTCCTTGGGATTTCTCTTTTGACTAATGTGGTAAAAAAAAACACAAAAAAAAACAGAAGGCAAGGCCAGTCTGAACTCTGAACCTTATGGATAGTTCCTTATTTGTAGTCCCAGTAGAGGGATTTAGCTGTTTCTGGTCCAGCTCTGATCCATGCAGCTACTGTGAACTATTTGCATCGGAATTATCTTGCATGCCTGATAAAAATGAAGAGTCCTGATCTCACCCTTGGACTTGAAAAATAAGAAATCTTTGCTGATATTACCTGCACATCCACGATTTTAATGTGATTCTATGTCTACAAGCTTGAGAATCATTATGTCAGGGGCAGAGAGCAGAGAGCCTGATCTCTAGACAAATGGACATCACCAACAAAAGTCTAATAGCCCCCATCTCCTTCTTGCTGCCCCGTCTAGAAACCTGGGAGAAGAAAGGGAGACTTCTATTCTCCATTCCTTCTTACAAGAACCTTGACATTCTTTATGGCACATACACATAAAAGGAAACCATGGAAATTACTGGCCTGCCCAGAGCAAGCCATTGTACTGGTTTGAGGACAGTTCCAAAAAAGTCAGTGCTATTTCTTTCAGGAAATAGTAGAGATACTCTCTCATGGTCATCCTTCCTAAAAAGTAGGCCCTGAAATTCATCAGGGACTCCTTCCCGCCACAGTAGGAAAGCTTGGAGAATCAGGAGACTTGTGATTAATTAATTCCACAGCAGGAACATGATTTCAGGGCTAACCAAAACCCCAGGCCCAGCACTGATCAGTGGTTTTATGTTCCCTTTGAAGTATTATTGCTAGTCCAAAAATCTTGTAAGAAGTAAAAAAAAATATTTATCAAATAATAAACACAACTTAAAATTCACATTGCATTCTAGTAAATTTTGGAAATGATCATAATTCAAATATTACAAATAAGGAAAAAACTCACCTAGAGGTTTAGGTTTTTTTATTTCTAAAAAAGCAAAGGCACTACAAACATAGCTTATATTTGTTGTAATTTCTTACATTTCAACACCTAGAGCCATTGTTACAGTCATGATTAAATAAAGATTGTAGTGTCTCAAGACTATTTTCATTTAGCCATTAAATCAAAATAAGAAATTGACAAATTAGTTTCCTTCAACAACAACAACAAAAAAAAGAGCTTGCTTTGAGAAAACCTTTATTGCACATCATTGAGTTCATTTCTATTTGAACAAATGGTACACAAAACAAAGATTTATGTTCTGAAAATCCCTGAAACTTCCAATCAGCATTTTGTAAGGATAGGGACTTTGGTTTTGTGTCTTTTAAAGGCACACATTTCCCACTTATTTTTAAAATTTTAAATGTGAGTTATGGAACCTCTCCCCACAGACAACAGTTCCCAACCCTAAAATGCCGCTTCTTTCCGAGGCTGGAGGTGCCTTGTGAAGGGCACACAGTACACCAGTGTTCGCAAGGCCACGCAAATACTGATAAAATAATCCTCGTGGGATAGAACATGCATTTGAATGTACTTTCCATTTTCATAAATGTATAAGATATTCTTTCAACTTTTTACTTTAACACTGAAGGAGAAAACTTATACATGAATACTGAAACACCGGATCCTCTCGAGAACTATAAGAAGCATATAACAGTTGTCCTTCAGAAGTACCGGCTTGTTAGTGAGTGATGGTTGTTTCCTATTCTGGCCTGGTTGTTTCCTATTCTGGTCTTACAAAGCAATGATTACTGGATATACAGCAACATCCTCTCTCAATCACAAGTGGGACCAGTCCAGGCAAAGTTTTCCATTGATGACACAATCAGCACAGTCTGAATCACTGTAAGCAAGAGGTTAAGAGTTCGAGTCAAGAGTGGTATGGAGCCCTGGCCAGTTTGGCTCAGGGGATAGAGCATCAATCAGCCAGTGGACTGAAAGGTCCCAGGTTCAATTCTGGTCAAGGACAGGTACTACCTCAGTTGCAGGCTCAATCCCCAGTCCCTGTCAGGGAGATGGTATGTTTCTCTCTCTCTCTCTCCCCCCTCCTTTTCACTCTGTCTAAAAATCAATGGAAAAAATACCCTCAGATGAAGATTAACAACAAAGAGTTGCATAGAAAACACCTTCTAAAGCGATGGCAAAATAAAGAACGAATAAGAAGCCAAAGCTTTACTAATCAAAGGTAGTGTTGTTGTTTTTTAAATAAACTTAACATATAGCTAAAAAGACGACAATTATTGCTTTAAAAATTATAAACCTAATGAGTTCTTAATGAATTATAGCTGTCAATTTGCTCAAAATAATAGTCTTCAAACATACTCTACCAGATCTTAAAATATCCATACAGTTTCCCAACTCGGCTACACATCATATTTTCCTCTAGAGCACAGATAAGCCTGAGAGCTACTTGGTACAACAGCAGAATATAGATCCTGGAGGTTCGTCGTCTAATCTGTACTTCCCCGAGTTGGGTAGATCTTTGCACTCTGATATAAATGTCCGAAGGCTGGTCTCTGGGAAGCCATCCTGCTGGTAATGCTGTGCAGGAGAATAAAAAGAATAGCTCTCATTAATGAACCCCTTGAAACAGCTTTTTAGTCCTAGTTTAAAACAGCTCATTTGGCAAGAGAGGAGATCTTTCTAGAGGGCTAGTGTCATCACTTCCAAGTATTTTCAGGGAGATGTAGTCGCTAGAGCCACTCATGCACTTGACTAAAGTAAACTGGGTCCGGAATTCAGCAGTGCCCTCCTGGCCTCTCTTTTGTGGGTCTGGTTCAACCCCAAACAGGCATGTTGAATCTGGGTCCTCCTGAGCCCTCTGTCCAGGAAGCATCCAGCCAGTCCTGCTCCCAGTCTGAGAACCTCACCCTACAGCCCATGACTTGGAGGCCAGTGTGTATCAGGCACCTTGGCTAAACCTAGTTCAGGCCACAAATGGCCCAGCTGATGCAGATTTAACACTATTGTTAAATAGCTAGGAGGGAGGGGCATACCTGTCCTTCCTCTGCCCAGCCCTGAATGCTCCTAAGCTGGTCCAGATGTCTGGACAAAGATCTGAGTGCTGTGAGGGACCTTTCCAGTCTGCTCACCCTTTGGGAGTCTCTCTTCTGGACAGAAAGGCTTGTTTAAGGGCCTCATATTTATACCAGTTTGGGGGTCTACTAAGGTGACTAGACGTCCCCCTTTTGGTGGGGACAGTCCCGATTTTTAACAATTTGTCCCGTGTCCCCCAGCGTTTTAAAAAGTCCTGCCACAGGTCCCAGGACAAATTGTTAAAAATTGGGACTGTCCCCGCCAAAAGCGGGATGTCTGGTCACCTTATCTAAGACTCTAGTCTAGAAGGTGCCCTGACCAGAAAGGATCAGAAATAACTTAGTGTTCCCATTTGGACGTGGGCTGGGCCCACGAAAAGAAGTTAACATCTAAACTGTGAGTCGCAAGTTGTGTTAACATCTAAACTGTGAGTTGCAAGTTGTGTTATGGAAAGTTGTCAAGTCATGTTACCCTTAGAGATAGTGGATGTCACCTTTAAATAACAGATAGTTCTCTGCATGCAGAGTGGGAGGTTTTTAGAGCATTATGGGGAGGGATTTGGGCAGGTACAGCTACATTCTTTCTCAGTCACCTTGGTGACTCTACGCACAAATCTGCCAAGCAAGCAGTGAGGACAGTCAGTTCCAGAAATCTGATTCAATGAGCATGAACTCATGGCCCTGGATTCATGAGCAAAGTTTTCAGAATCATCAACTCGTAATGCATCAACTCCCAGGGGCCCTCTCTTTATCCCTGGTCCATCACACATCATTCCGACTCTCATACCCAGGAAGAAAAGTCCTCAAGTGCAAGTGCCTATGCCAGTAGTGTACCTAACAATACAAGGTTTTCAAAATGTAAGTCTATATAGATGTTTATTCCAAAGGGCTTAAATAGATTTTTTTTAAATGTCCTTTGTGAATGATAATACAAATCATAACACCTTTTTAAATCAAGTTTCCAGTCTCGCCTGGTTAGCTCAGTCGGTAGAGCATGAGACTCTTAAATCAAGTTTCCAACTGGGGAAGGGACCATGCCAAGGAGTAATGAGTTCAGTGACAGCACACTCCAAATGAAGAGGTCAATTTTTCTTTATAAAACTGAATTTTAAAAGTTCCCCACTCCAGCAGCACCAGGGAAGCTGGTCCTTAGGTCAGCTGTGGCTGGTTTTGTTGCTTTTCTGAGCCTGGAGCTGAAATACAACTGAAACCTAGGTGTTATTTCTAGGGAGGAAAGGTCAGGGAGTCCAAATTGCATGACCAGCAATATGCTAGGAAGAGAAAAGAAAGGCCCCCCTGAGGCCAAGGTTCCACCCTACAATTGTCTTTTGTTAGATAAATGACAATATACCTGCCAATGTCCTCTTTCCCCAAACTGTCTGTCTAGCTGCCTACCACAGAATGAACTGGGGGAAAAATGACCCAAGTGATGTGAGATTAATGCTATCGGTACCTTTTATATATATATATATTATTAATACACTAGATGCCGGGTGAACAGATTTGTGCACAAGTGGAGTCCCACAGCCTGGCCTGCACCCTCTTGCAATCTGGGATGCCTCGGGGGATGTAGCAAGTGCCAAAGCACAGGGAGGAGCCCAAGCCAGGGCTGCATGCAGCTCCACTGTCGCTCATCCTGGCCCAACTGTGCCTGCTGCTGCCATGGCTACGTCCCCTAGTGATCAGTGTGCATTATAGCAACCAGTCAAATGTTCGTTACAGTCATTCTGATTGTAATAGTCACTTAGGCTTTTATACATAGATTATTTCTTCTCTCTCGTTTCTTTTTTTAATTACTTTGTATTTTACCTTAAACTTTAAACTTCCATTTATTTCCATGTCCTTTTTCTTTTTTCAACTTTCTATTCACTTCCAGATCTCTTCCATGTTGTTCCTAATGAACATAGGTCTATTCAATAAGTTACCTAGGAAATTGCAACTAATATGTCTTCTCAAAATGAGAGATTTAATTTATATAGAAATTAAAATTTTCAACTAGATTAATATAAAAGAGAAAGTTTGCTACTCCAAATTCCAGCTTTCTGGAATGCCATCTGCTGTACTCACACAATACTTACTAATCCTTATAATTTTAATAAGCTTGTACAAAAAAAAAGCACAATTATATGAAGACAAAACTTCCAACATTCTATACTTCTGTTTCTCTTTCATTTCTTTTTCTCAGTATCTAAAACTGAAGTCCTTCTTCTCTACCCATAGGTATTATATTTTATTGTCACTTCACAAATTCTAGCCACTTATCGCTACTGATGAGCTTACCTTGATTGTTTCATATGTATCAGTGATCAGTGCGATGAAAAGACTTAGAATCATATAGACAAAGAGGCTGATGAACGTGTAGAGGTAAATTCTGCTAAATAGCCAGACCAAGTAACTTTTTTGATGCATTCCTGCAAACGTCGCAAACATATCATCTCCATTTATCAGAGAAAAAAGGCACTCGGAGACCAAGTTCAGAGAACGAAACTAGAAAAAAAAAAACACACGCACACAGAAAAATGCACTTTATTCTATGCTCCTTCCCCTGGGAGACTTCATTCATGACATCATATTAAAAACTAGTGGCCCAGTACACTGATTCATGCACATTGAAAGAACATTAATTAAAAGAAATATTTTAATATCACTATTTGCCTTTATCTATTATATAATAGAAGTGTCAACCAAATTCATGATCGATAATGACAGCTAGAAACACACCTGTGTGACTGGCACCAGTGAGGCTTTATACGTATCATGCATGCACTAGTCAACTTAGCCTTTTATATATTCTATATAATAAAAGGCTAATATGCAAATTGACCAAATGGTGGAATGACTGGTCACTATGACGTGCACTGACCACCAGGAGGCAGATGCTCGATGCAGGACCTGCCCCCTGGTGGTCAGTGTGCTCTCACAGGGGGAGTGCTGCTCAGCCAGAAGCTGGGCTCATGGCTGGCGAGTACAGTGGCAGTGGCAGGCACTAAGGATGTCCAACTGACAGCTTAGGCCCGTGGGGGAGTGGGCCTAAGCTGTCAGTCAGACATTCCCTGATGGATCCTGGACTACAAGAGGGCTCAGCCCAGCCTGTCCCTCTCACAGCCTGGGACCCCTCGCCACTTACCATCTGCCTGTTTGCTGCTCCTTACTGCTCAGCTTGCTGCTGCTTAGTGCTGCTGCTGCTGCAGAGGCAGAAGAGGCTCCCACCACCGCACTGCACTTGCCATCGTGAGCCCAGCTTCTGGCTGAGTGGCGCTCCCCCTGTGGGAGCACACTGACCACATTGAGCGTCTGCACTGAGCGTCTGCCCCTGGTGGTCAGTGCATTGAGTGTCTGCCCCTGGTGGTCAGTGCACATTATAGTGACTGGTTGTTTTGCTGGTCATTCCACCATTTGGTCAATTTACATATTAGGCTTTTATTATATAGTATGTGGCCAGATATGCCAAGTTACCCTTTAAAACCAATCACCTGGAATAACTACATGCATTTGCTTGGCGATACACACAACATATACAGGCCTACTATTTTTCCTGGGACAAGCAGCTGCTTCTTGCTGCTCTGTTAATGGGAGCAGGCTGAACTAGATAAAGCTTATCTCAGGGCTTTTGTGAGACAAGCCTTATCCTCCCTTTTACCTTCATGGAAAGAGATCCTTGAAACACTTCTGAGAAACCCAGATCCCAATCATACATGATCATACTTCTCATTTTAAAGTTCATGCCACTTAAGATAACAGCATTATAGTTAGGACTATAACTCTGGTAACAAATATTCCTACAAGTTTCTCCCTCTACTGCTTTTTAAATAAAATCCCATTTTGAGACACTTTACCTAAATAGCCTACTCTAATATATACTGATGAATCAAACTGACGAAACTTTACTTCGCTGGTGGTAAAAAGGACTTCACTATTTGGCATATTCCACTAAAGAAATTGAGGATGTTGAGTGAACCAATTCTTCTCTCAAGTTAGTCAGCCCTTACTGGTTTATAAACATGGCAATAGATATACTACCTTCAACATATGAAGACCGAGTCACAAAATAAACAGAGTGCATTTGAAAGGAGAAAACAAGCCACTGGCACTATGCTAAGAACTTCATGGTCCCAAAGGTGACAGGTTGTGGATCGGTACCTTTTCGTGGTAAGGTCCCAGCACAATCCATCCACAGAAGCAATAGCCAAAATAGATCACAGCTGCACAGCAGCAGAACCTCATGACACTGGGCAGCGCTGCCTGAAGGGTCAGGATAAGGAGCTGAGAAAGTAAGAGAGGTCATTAGAATCTTTTTGTCCTCCAGCCAAAGCAGCGTAGTAACAGTGAAAGGGGGAAAGACCAGCCGCACTGAGAGCCCTGAAACATCTTACATTGTACTTGTGGAAGAAACTGAGGTACCGGATGACGCCCAGCCACACAAGCAAGGTGGAGGTCCCGAGGAGTATGCTGCAGACATCATAACTTGATAGACTCTAAAACACAAGTGGGGGAAAGTAATCAGAAATTCACATGAGCAAGAACTACCTCTTGGCAGCTATGAGCTGGTCACTGTTCCAGGGGCTAAGGACAGAGCGGCGAACAGGCAAAATTTCCCCCATTCATGCAGCCTACCTTCTCATGATCGGGGAGAGAGGACAGCAATACATTCATGAACACCTGATACATTAGCTGATGCGCAAAGGAGAGAATTCAGGATAAGAAATGCACAGGCAGTTGCATTTTAAGAAGGGTGACCGGGAAAGGTGTCACTGAAAAGGCAGCACTTGAGCAAAGGCCCGAAGGCAGTGAGGAGCCAACCAACAAAATCAAGGGGGAGAGCTTTCCAGGCTCAGGAACCAGCAGGTGCCAAGGCTCCGAAGCAGGAGGGCACCTGGCAAGACGGTGAGTCTGGCTGGAGTGAGCGATGGGGATAGCATGAAGTCAGAGGTGAGGAGGCAGGCAGTTAGGGTCTCGTGGGTAATTTTACAACTTTACATTTATTCTGGAGAGGGGGATTTGAGATGTCGGAACAGAAGTGATAGGATAGACTATTGGCTGCGACGGTTGAGCGCAGATTGTTAGAGGAGTGAGAAGGCTGTTGCAATAATATGAGTGAGAGCTGATGGTGACTTAGTGGTGGAGTCGATGAGGTAATTTTTGAAGGTAGATCAATAGGATTTCCTCTTGAATTATATGAGAGTGAAAGGGGATTAGTGAAAGGGAAAAGTTGAGGATGGATCTTATCTTGAGCAACTGAAAATAGTTGGTATTTAACTGAGCTTAGAAAGGAGAAGCAAGTTTTGATCGTGGAGGTGGGGGAACCTTAGGAATTCTGTTTTAGATATGTTACATTTGAGAGGCCAAATAGACACTCGAGTGAAGATGTGGAATAGACAGTTGGAAATGTGAGACAAGTTGAGGGAAGAATTCCAAGCTGGAAACATAAATGTGGAAAACATAAATGTGGCATGGGACAGAATGAGGTCACCAACACAGTGGCAGAAAATAAAAATAAAAATGTCCCAGTGCTATGCTTTGAAGTAGTCACTTTAATAGGTTGGAGAGATGAGAGGAAACTGGCAAAGGAAAGTCAGAAGACCAGCCCGAGACCTAGGAGGAACAACAGGAAAATTATATCCAGAAGAAGAAAAAAAGTACATGAACAAAGAGGGAGTAAAAGCTGAAGGGTAAATTTCTTTAAATAATTGATTATTGGATTTAATCAATATAGGAGGTCCTTGAAAAGAACACTTTCTATGGAGGGGCAGGCAGCCTGGTTGGAACAGATATCAGAGAGAATGGGAGCAGTAGAATCAGAAACAAGATGAACTACTCTGTTGAGGTCTTTTGCCATATAAAGAGAAGCAGAAAATGAAGAAGTAAATGGTTGATATTTTTTCTTTTTAGAAAGGAGGTAAAAACATGCTGAAGAGAATGACTGCATAGAGACTGGGAAACGGATGATGTACAAGGAAAGGGAGAAGCATGGTGAGAGGTGTGCCCATAAGTAAGCAAGTGGGGTAGCATGTGGAACGCATATGGAGGAGTAGGACTTAGATAATAGGCTAAATAATAAATGCTTCATAACAGAAAAAGCAGGGCATGTGGGCACTGATGCTGGCCGGTAGATAAATGAAGTAGGAGTTTGTGGGATTTTTACTTTTTTTCCTATTGTTCTTATTAAATAGGAAATTAGGTCACCAGCTGAAACTGGGGGTAAAGCAGGGAGCTAGAGGTTTTGGAAGTGAAGAAAACATGAAATTATCATTTATATGATGGGAGTAGTGAATGGTCTATAAAAATGTGGAACGGTTGCTGGGTACCATTAAGAGCTCATTGAGGTTAAGGATAGTTGAGGTGGGTATAAATGAATATTTATTGCAAATCTTCTCCCATTCTCCCTCCACCCCCCAAAGTTAAATGTCTATTCTGATAACTTATAATACTAACAATGGCATACATAGGGGGAAAGTTTACCTTGGCTTGGATTTCCATTTTCAGAATTGATCCAATGATTGTCAATAAGTCACTACTAATAATCATAATGTACCATCCATTGACAAATTCCATTCGCTCAGAAACAGAAACCTCCTTCTTATAATGGAGGAGGAAAAAATTGACAAATTCCTTTAGGGAAAGAGGGAAGGCACAGTGAGTTTCTCTGTTGATCAAAACAGCTGTAATAGTCCTAGAAAGCAACAACCCCTACCTGTTGAAGCTGAATTCCCTTAATCACAGATCGAAGGCACAGGATTAACGAAGTCAGGCACATCAGGATAACAAAGCCATCAAAGATCATCATGTAATGAGTGTTTCTCTGAACTGGAAGAAAAAGGATTACCTGTTTATGCAGTGGGACATTAATACAGTGACAGCCACTTTTTTTTTTTTAACTTTTCATTTTTAGCCTCGTTTATTTTAACTGCTGTGTTGCACACCACAGTATAGATGTAAAACACGATAAAGGACACTCAGATTGTAATCTGTTCTTCCCTGCTGGAAACAATTTCTCAAGTCTTCTTTGTACTGCGGGGGGTGTGGGGGAGGGGGGGGAGATTATAAGTAATTTTTTAGTAAGGAGTGGACCAATGAAGGCAGATGGAGAATGCAGGAAAAGTCATTTCGATTATTAATTATTTATGTATTACCTAGAACATCAGATAACTACAATGAATTGACCTACTTACAGAGAATTAGTCACTCGGGAGTAGTACAGTTCTTTCATTTGATGCTCCACATATCCATGAGACTAGTAATTTAATGACCATTTTTGAAAACTAGTAAAATGTATCAGTTACCTGATCCAGAAACATGCCAGTCTTTACATTCTCTGATGGAAATGTCATTATCTAAACTTATCTTAATTCTTCCACTATGGGCTTTATTGTCAAATGTTATCTGCGAAGAAAAAGAAGAAGGATCAAAAACATACCTATAGTTTTGAAGCCATGGTACCTCCTTGCATTAATTAGGAAACAATTCTTTCAGTGTGAGAGGAGACACAGTGTCTCATCCCTGCCCTTTGCTAACTCTGTTCAACCTTGGGAAGTTCTCTTTATTCCTCTGTAAAATGAAAGGTTTGAACTATATCTTCCACAGAGAACTTTCAGTCTCTAAAATCCTATGCTGCTAGAACAGTATCACAACCATGGAAACTTCTAAAACAAGAGAACTTCTCCACTTTCCCATTCTAAGTACCTCTAGATGCCCTCTTGATATGAGCAAGGGCTGGTACAAAGCTTCCAGTTATATGATAAATAAGCCATGAAGATGTAGTGTACAGCACAGGAAATATAGTGAATAATATTGCAATAACTTTGTACTGTGACAGATGGTTACTAGGCTTAATGTGGTGATTACCTCTTAGGCTACATAAATGTTGAGTCACTATGTTTTTCACACCTGAAACTAATATAATGTGCCAACTACACTTTAATAATTTTTTAAAAGCTCATAAAATTGTGCTTTTCCCCACTTTCCAGTAGTTCCTCAGCTAGGAATAGATTTTTTTTTTAAGCTCTTTTACAATTCTTCCTAACATAAGAGGTCATTTTTCTGTCTTGAAACATTTTAAGTGAAACTTTTAAAATTTTCTTTCTGGATCTAGATTTCTTAGTCATTCTAGAACCATATGTACTGCCAAGAATGTGGCCCTGGGAGTCAACAGCCACTTCTTGCCTCAAGGATTACTATTCAGGACTCAGGCACAGACCGGACAAAGCCACGCCAGAACACCTTCCATAGCCCTTCTCTGTTTCCCCTCTGGCTCCCTCCACTTTCCCCATGAAGAGACCATCAGTCTTTTTGTTGCTGTTGTTTTTAAGTTCCTTCTCGCTCAAGTTCTTTTAAAAATGTCATTTAAATTATTTTTTAAAAATATATATTTTTATTGATTTCAGAGAAGAATAGAGAGGGATAGAAAAATCAATAATGAGAGAGAATCCCTGATTGGCTGCCTCCTCCATACCCCCTCCTGGATATCCAGCCAGCAACCTGGACATGTACCCTGAACAGGAATTGAACTGTAACCTCCTGGTTTAGAGTTTTATTGCACCTCCTTCATGTGGGGTAATCAGAAATCACTTCAAATATAAGATGTCAAATAAACATATTGGAAAAAGTCTGGTCACTTTGTCTCCTCAGGTTGGATTGTAAACTTCTCTCCTTGACAAGCAACTCGGGCCATTGTCAGTGTCTGTCCATCTCCATGGCTGCTGGGGGACCCAGCCCACAACTTCACACTAGGAAGATGCTCGTATTACTTGAATGAGTTCCCCTTGCAAAAGGGAAACCATCTTTTCCCACATAAGAGCCTCAGAGTCTTAGAAACAGTAGGTGCTCACTAAATATCTGTTGAGTAAATACATTTTGGTTTCATGTCAATCACATCTCAGTAAGGTTTAAAAGAATCTGAATTCTTTAAACACAGAAGAAAAGTTACTAGATGGGATTCACAACATATTAGATAGTACAGGGGAAAATATTAGTGCTGTGGTCGGCAAACTGCAGCTCACGAGCCACAGGCAGCTCTTTGGTCCCTTGAGCATGGCTCTTCCACAAAATACCACTGCCTGGGTTGTCTATTTTGAAAAAGTGGCATTAGAAGACGTTTAAGTTTAAAAAATTTGACTCTCAAAAGAAATTTCAATCGTTGTACTATTGATATTTGGCTCTGTTAACTAATGAGTTTGTCAACCACTGTATTAGTGGATTTGAAGAGATAGCAATAGTAATTAATGAAACACAGAAGAAAAAAGACTAAAAAATGAAACAAACAAAAAAAAGAGAGCATTAATAAGCTGTGGGAATATTTCAAGTGCCAAAATACACATGTATTATAGTTAGAATCTCTGAACAGTGAGTGGGGGGAAAGACAGAAAAATATTTGAAGAACTAATGCTGAGTAAATGTCAAATATAATGAAAATTATAAACCCACAGAACCAAAATGTTCAATAATGCCATACACAGAAATATAAAGAAAACAACACAAAGGAATGTCACTATCAAATTGTTGATATAAAGATAAAAATTTAGAAACAGCTGCGGGGGAGGAGGAAGGAGGGAAAACAGATCGCATAAAGAAGAACAAAGATGAAGATGACAGCAGATTTCTCATCAGAAACAATGCCAGCCAGAAGAGCAGCAACTTTAAAGTACAGAGGCTGTAAAACCTAGAATTCTATATCCACTGAAACTTCTCTTTAAGAATGAGGGTGGCCGAAACCAGTTTGGCTCAGTGGTAGAGCATCGGTTTGCGGACTGAAAGGTCCCAGGTTTGATTCCGGTCAGAGGCATGTGCGTTGGTTGCAGGCACAACACCGGTGGGGGGGGTGCAAGAGGCAGCTGGTCGATGTTTCTCTCTCATCGATGTTTCTAGCTCTCTATCTTTCTCTCCCTTCCTCACTGTAAAAAATCAATAAAATATTTTTAAAAAAATATTTAAAAAAAAAAAAAAAAAAAAGAATGAGGGTGAAGTCCTGGCTGTTAGCTTAGTTGGTTAGAGCATTATCCCAATATGCCAAGGTTGCAGGTTCAAGCCCCAGTCAGGGCACATATAAGAATCAACCAATGAATGCATAAATAAGTGGGGCAACAAGTCTCTCTCTCTCTCTCTCTCTCTCTCTCTCTCTCTCTCAAAATCAATAAATACATTTAAAATTTAATAGTTACAAATAAATAAAAATAAAGGTCAAATACTTTTTCAGACCTAGAAAAGCTGAGAGAATTTATCACCAGCAGGCCTGCACTATAAAAAATGTTAAAAGAGGCCCTTCAGGCAGAAGGAAAATGATGCCAGATAGAAGCCTGGAGTTACACAAAGGAATGAAGCACACTGGAATTGGTAACTATGTGGGTAAATATAAATACTGTTTTCTTATTATTTAATTGGCTTCAAAAGATAATTGACTAAAGCAAAAATGATAATAATACATCAAGAATGTGATAACACATCTAGAAAGTAACAATAAGATAAAGGCCAAAATTAGAGAAATGGAAATACAGCGATGGGCAAAAGTAGGCTTATAACTGTAAGTACACAAAACATAGAGTTTATGCTTGTATTATTATATTATTTATTACTAAAGGCCTGGTGCACAAAATTTGTGCATGGGGAAAGGGGAGGGTCCCCTTAGCCCAGCCTGCACCTTCTCCAATCTGGGACCTCTTGGACATCCCTCTCACAATCTGGGACCACTGGCTCCTAACTGCTCGCCTGCCTGTCTACCTGATCGCCCCTAACTGCCCCCCCCCAACCAGCCTGATTACCCCTAACCACCACTGCCAGAGTCCCTCAGCCAGACCTGTGCCTTCTTGCAGTCTGGGAGCCCAGGGGGAGCAGGCCTAAGCTGTCAGTCAGACATCCTTGTTGTGCCAACAAGGAACACCTCCACTGCACTTGCCAGCTGTGAGCCTGGCTCCTGGCTGAGCAGCACTCTCCCTGTGGGAGCACACTGACCACCAGGGGGCAGCTCCTGCATTGATCGGCTGCCCCCTGGTGGTCAACACATGTAAAAGGGTCAGTCATTCCACTGTTCAGTCAATTTGCATATTAGCCTTTTATTATATAGGATTACTACATTAGACTATGTTCTGAACATTTTTTAACCTCATTCTCAGAGAACTTGATTTTTTAAAATAATTATTTATTGTTGAAAGTACTCCTTATGTCCCTTTCCCCCCCCACTTAGACCCCTTCAGCCTGCCCCTGCCCCCAACCCCAGGTCTTCAGCACCCTACTGTCTGTGTCCATGGGCCATGCACATGTGCATACAAGGTCTTTGATTGATTACCTCCCACCCTCCAACCCTCCCCCACCTTCCCTGTGAGATTCCACACTCTGTTCCATGCATCCATGTCTCTCAATCCACTCTGCACATCCATTTATTTTGTTATTTAGATTCTACAGATGAGTGAGATCATGTGATACTTATCTTTTTCTAACTGACTTATCTCACTTAGCATGATACTCTCCAGGTCTCTCCACGCTGTGAGAGCTTGATTTCTTACAGCCAATTATTTGAGAACTGAGAAAATAGCTTTTGACAAAGACTACTGCCAAAGTAACAGAATTTGTATCAGATGACAGCAAGTTGTATAAAACGCTTTCCTGCATATGACCAGCCAGCATTGGGTTACTGACTCTGATCCTCGTGAGGTGCCAGACTCACATGAGAGGTGTCTTGTGCTCTTTAGAGAGCATTAATAGCTCCATTTACAACTGCATGTGGAGAACATGGAAGTGAAGGGGGAGAAACTCACCAGAACATTCAGAGGCAGCACAAGGAAGGCACTGTGAGCAATAACCCAAAGGTTACAAACATCCATTCATGGCAAGGAAACTCAGCAAGAACCCTTGCCAAGGACTTAAGCACACAGCCACGGAACTGCTAGACACTACAAAGTCTTCTCCTTTTGTATTTGAACACCTACCCTGTGCCAGACACTTGCCTTGGTACTAAAGACACAACAATGAACAAGACAAGGTTCCTGTCCTCATAGGACTTAGGCTGGAGTACAAAAGAAAGCTAATTAACAAGTGGAACAAGTTATTGTAACAAGATAGAGCTAGCTGTTTCAATGCCCCCCTTAGGCACATTCAAGCCTAAACATCCTAGATATTTGATCATGTCTTAACGCAAGTAGATGGAACATATGACTAGGTAAAACACGCTTCTCCAGATGGGAACCAAACTGGCCCAGCCCACTCTTACAGTCAGAGTGAAGTCGTAACAGTCAGGGAGCTCGTGATGACGAATAGTCTGCAGATTGATGGCCTTCAGTTTAAAGGTCAGCTCCACTGTTAGGAGTCTAGAAAACAGAAGAGACCTCAGCGCAGTGAACACACACTCACAACAGAAGTCGCGCTCCCGCCTGCCTCCCTCACCTGTGAAAGTCCAGTGTTAGGTTGAGTTTATTTTCCTCCGGTGTTCCAATGTAAAAAGTGTCATCTGGCTCTACGGAGAAACATTCTGCCACAGACAGGAACAAAACATAACATTGTGGCCAAAATAAATAAAACTACATCTTGGGAAGATTATATATGATACATACACACACACACACACACACACACACACACACACACACACACATATATATATATATATATATATATATATATATATATATATATATATTCAAAACTAAATATTCAGATTCTAGTACTTTTCTGAATTAAGATTTTAAAGGCTAGACATCTATACTGGCCTCTTGGTTACAATGACTCAATTGTTTTTAAGACATAAGTGGCTACATTTCTGCAGTGGGTGGGAGTGGAAAAAGTTCTGAACCTCGATCTCATTAGTCTCCTATAGAATGCTATCTTCCCTCCTGGCCTTTAAACCTAAACTTGGAGACCTTCCTCCCCCAACCCCTTTTCTTTTCTTCATTATGTCTAAACAGGTTTGAAGCACTTGCAGTGTCAAAGAAAAAATTTCTAAGCATAAAGGATCTACTTGTCTAATATTATGTGTTGACTATTTTTCCTCAGTAAGCATTTTGAAAGGAAAACAGCACCTTAGAAGGTATTTACTAATCAGTAGTATGTTACTATTCCTCTTTAAAAAAAAAAAAAAGTCCCAGTCAATACTGATGAAAGCATTCAAATATGTCTTATTCTTTTTATTAAATGACAGAGGTGACATTGATAAATAAGATTAATACCTATTTTTTAACATTTAGTCCTGAGCTAATGTTTCAGGCACAACTTGCAAATAACACTTTGCTCCTAAGAATAAGCTGTGCTCTTCTAAATTCTGGTTCTCATTCCTACCCCAGCCTACCCCCTACTTCACCCCCATAGATCCTGAATAGTGAGATGCTAGTAAAGAGAGGGAGCTGGGCACACATCAAGAGTGTGCAGCATAATTTCTTGTAAGGAAAGTATCTGCCTATTTAATTAGCTGATCCAGCGTGAGAGGCAGTGGAATATAGTGCCCAACAGCCTGGGTCAGGTTTCAGCTCTGCCTCTTATTAGCTCCATCTTGAGCTATCACTTACTTCTCTGTGCCATTCTGTAGTCTTCCATAAAATGGTAATAATAATAATAATAATAATAATAATAATAATAATAATAAACCTTGGGACAGTATCTAACTGACACAACTTTTATATGGTTTATCAGATGACCCATTAGCACAGACCAAATCAACGTTTTCAGAGATGAAATTACTGATTTAAAATATAAATCAAGGAATAAAAAGTGGAAGGTCCAGCTTATAGAAGAGCATTACCAGTTTCAATTTGGGGATCAATGTCAAAGGTATCGTTTCCAGGACAGATGTTTCCTTGCTTGTAGAAGTTCTGACAGATCGCCATACCAGACTGCTCCGCGCCCTTTTCCTCGTAAGCATGGTTCCCGATCGAGATGTTGCGTAGCTGCAAGTACTTCAACCGAAAAGAGAAACAGAAAGTGGGGATGCCAGCCAGGACAGAAGTGAAGCCATGATCCCGCTCACTCCCTGCCTTTGAAACTGGAAGGTCCCACCTCTGCTCTGGGTGGAGACCCTCCCACTGACACACACAGTGCGTGGCATGGACTGTGCCCCCAGGCAGCAAGCAGAGGGACTAAGAGCACTCAAGAACTTGAGTTCTGAGCTCAGGTGTCAAATCCATGACCTCAGGTAAATCACAAACTTTTCTGAGCTTCTGGTTCCTTATCTTTAAAATTAAAGGTTTAAACGGCATAATCTCCTTTAAAGAACTATGTTCTAGAAACTGGCTTTTACGTATAGTGTGGATACAAATTTATTTTATCTTAGACCTACATCCTATATGGTCAGAGTTTTGCTCCACTACTGCAGTACTGGAAGGGGGATAAAGTACCATCTAACCATCAAAACTTTTTACTTAAAAAATATGTTTTTAATATTTATCTTCATAAGAATATAGCTTAGTCATTTTCATCACAATATTCCCCTATCCTGGTGAATCCTATAAAACAAAATGTGACTTTTACAAATGAGAATCACATGGTATCTTGGAATAAGTGTCCACAAGGTGGATTTCCGTGAATAAAAAACACAAAACGAAGGAGTTTAGAGCTTATTTTGAACAATGTAACATGGCACATTTAGTGATCCAAAGATAAGGATATGGTATCTGTCTCTTGGAATTAATAATTTAATGGGATAGGCACAGGTAAATAATTCTACTAAAGGATGCACGTGAACATGCTGTGACCATTGAAGGGAATCATTGATGATATGGGCCCATGGAATTGATTCTGAGCTGGCCTTGTGGAGGAGCATGTTACCAAATCCGACCCTTAGTTCCCAGTGCTCAGTGCTTCGTGCTTGGTTGTCTGGGCTCACCTAACTTAACTTCTCTATGGTGTGTGATGCAGGTGAGTGCTTTCCCCTTCGTGGGATACTCTCTTCACTTGTCTTCTGGGATCCAGGCTGCTCCTTCTCAGTCTCCTTAGCTGAATCCCCTCTTCCCAGCCTCTGCATCTCAAGGTACCTTGCATTCAGTCTTCAACCTCTTTAACCACATTCTTTCCATGGGTGATCTCAGCCAGTCCCATGTTTTGTACCATCTATATGCTGATGACATCCACATTTATATCTCCAGCCCTGCCCTCTCCACCAAACTCCATAAACAAGTGCGTAGCAATCTACCTATGGTTTCTAAGAGAAAGCTTAATCACAGATGGACAAACAGCTAAAATTGTCTTTCTACAATACTTTTCTTCTCCACAAACAACTCCATAAGAGTCAATCACCTTCCAGGCAAGTCTTGGAAATGATCCTTTAGTCTTCTTCTCTCCTACTCCATTTCTAATCCATCAGAAAATCATGCATTACTTTCCGATTATATCCCAAACCTGACCACTTCTCATTACCTACACTGCTATCGCCCTGGACCACTCCTCCATCATGTCTCATCTGGTTAACCTGACTTCCCTGCTTCCAATCCAGACTCTCACCACAGACTTGTCATTGTAAAGAAATCACTTGACTGTTACAAATATTTCCTTACTACAATCACAAAAAGTAAGTGATTTAAGACACGTGAAACCCTTAGAATAGTGACACCTAAGCATGAACCTGTTTGAGACTCTGCTCCTTCTTCCTGGAAGCTTCTTCCTTGAGATCTTCATGGGCTGCCTCACCACTCTTTTGTCTACTCTCTGCTCACCTGTATCACCTTCTCAGAGAAGCCTTCCCTGACCATCTCCACCCTTTTCACCCTGCCTGCTTCTTCTGTTTGTTTTTCCTTAAACGAAGAACCAACTGACAGATGATTTATTTCTGTATTTATTGCTGATCTCTTCCTATTAGAATATGACCTCCTTGACTTTGTCTATGTGTTCACTACTGTATTTTTGAACCAAAACCAATATCTGATGCATAACTGATGCTACAATTTTAAGGGAATAAACATTAGCCTTTGCTGGTGTGTAATAGAGTAAATCTCTAGGCTCATTCTGATCCAGTGCTGGTTATAACATCACTTTTGTTTATTATATATGAACATTTCAGCCTGAAATGTTCTTCCTCACACTTTCAGTCCTCAGAGAGGCCTTTTCTGACCGCCCTGTACTATTAATGCCTTGTGCTACTTTATTTTACTTCATTGCACTCACCACTATATGAAATCAAATAATTTGGTTAAACTTGTTTAAAAGCCATCTTTTCCATTAGAATGTAAATTCCACAGAACTAGGAATTTATCAAGTCCACTGCTCTAACCCCAGTGCTTAGAACAGTATTAGGCCTGGAATAGGTGTCAAGCCAATGGTGAGGTAAAATATTATTATAAAGCTGCAGTGGCTCTTCACTTCCTAGAGCTAATCTATGCACAGAAACCATTAGGATAATATGTGTGATTAGGGCATTGAGATTGGAAAAATTAGAAATCTTTGATAATGAAAGTAGCATACTATTAAACAGCATTGTGTCCTATATATAGGGGGAAATAGTGTAATGCTGGAGATATTACATTTTGAGATTTTTATTTTCTACTCAAGGAAATAGTGTATTAATTAAGTCTTTCTATAGCCACTCTGAGCCAAATTGGTAGTTTCATAAGGGGGACAGGAAAGAAGAGGGAGCATAAGAGATAAAAAGTCCCTTTCATGAAAAAGGGTAAAAGATATTGAGGGTAGTAATCTATTTCAGGCACATCATGAGAAGGCAGGGTTCTTTGGAAAAGATGATAATGGTAGAAAAACAGAAGGCAGCAGGAAAAGAGGAAGAACAAATAGGAGATGAAGTAACTCCATAATAGAAGCCATAGGCTTGAGTCTGCAGGAGCTGATCAGGGCTGTTGAGGACAGGACATTGTGGATGTCACTCATTACACTGGAGACTGCTCAAATGTAAGGGGCAGATGAAAGAAAAGAACTCAGTAAAGATGACCCACAAGTGGTTGAGGAAAGCCACAAAATAACTAGTGTTCTGACATTCAAATATATAAGCATATATAATAACAAAAGTGATGCTATAACCAGCATTGGATCAGAATGAGCTTAGAGATGGTCTATTTAGAGGACATCTGGGGGTTAATCCCTTCAGAATAACTAATTAGTCGTGGAAATACCTTTAAGATCAAGAAGCCACTGTTCCATCTGTCAGTTCTCCTTAGGAACTATCATCTCAATTATCAGGATATCTCCTTACAACAAACAAAGCTCCCTCTTTAACACCAGTCCATACTGTCCCTTTTCAGTTTTCTGGAGCCATGTAGAAGGACTGACCTCATTAACCACAAAACTTTAGTTATTCATGGAAATTATGATCAAGATATTTTTATCTTTAGCTAAAAATACATGCTAGTTGCTTGGAAGATGGAAAGTAATCATTTGCCCAAGGTAAACCACTCCAATTATTATTTTCTACTTACATATTAGAGTAAGGAATCTACACGCAGTTCTAAAAAGAATGTAGAAATCTGATAAATAGAATGGCCTGAATGCCAAATAGTACTGTATTTTTATAAATATATTTTTATTGATTTCGGAGAGGAAGGAAGAGGGAGAGATAGAAACATCAATCATGAGGGGGAATCATTGATTGGCTGTGTTCTACACGCCTCACACTGAGTTAGCCCATAATCCAGGCATGTGCTCTGACTGGGAACTGAACCATGACCTCCTGGTTCATAGGTCAATGCTCAAACATTGAGCCATGCTGGCCCCAGGGTAAGTAGTACTATATTTTTAAAACTAAGTTTAAGTCTACTAATTAAAGTAAATACATTTTAGAAGGAATTTTAATGAATTGTGTGCTTCTTGCCTCTATCCCCCCTGCCAAAAAAAACACACAAAACAAAACAACTACCAATTTGGTTTAAGGTAGCTTTAGAGAAACTTAATAAGCTTAAAACAAAAATCTCAAAACTGAATATTTCCAGCATTATATATTTTTCCTTACAAATTGTAGGACATAATTTTGTTTAACAACTTATACAGCTAGTTTCTATTACTGTAGATATTGGGCCAATTCTTGCAATGGAATGCTAACAGAAAACTTTGGTGTCATAATTACATATCTCATCTTAGTAATTTATCATTTCAGTGTGCAGAAATTGTCTCTAGATAATGAAGAGCCATGATTTCATTATAACAGTTGTTTGAAGGAGAGTTGTAATAGTTTTTAAACTAAGCCAAGTTGCAAATACTGACTTCAAGAACACTTTCAGCCCTAGCCCGTTTGGCTCAGTGGGTAGAGTGTAGGCCTGTGAACCTAAGGGTCCAGGGTTCAATTTTGGTCAAGGATAAGTACCTGACCAGACCCTGGTGGGGGCTCATGCAGGAGGAAACCAATTCATGTGTTTCTCTCACATCAATCTGTCTTTCTCTCTCTGTCTAAAAATCAATGGAAAAATATTCTCATGGGAGGATTAAAAAAAAAAAAAAAAAAAAAAAAAGAACACTGTCAATGATACTACCAAATAAGAGATTTAGGATCTTAAGAAAGAACTATTTATAGCAAAAACAAATTGATTACAAACACAGAAAAGGAATTTGACTCATCTAGATGAAAAACAAGCTTACTTTTTTTATAGTTAATCCGTGTCACAATAAGATCATTGTCATGCATGACATAAAGGCCTTACTTATATTTTACGAGAACTTTCAGGTCTTGGTTGCTATATACACTCTGCAAAGTGAATATTATCATTAAGTATTAAGGGCCTCTGAAACTATAAGCTCTGAGGACTTAATGACTACTTACAACCAGTGTCGTGGTTAATAATTTTAAACCTTTGAGGCTCTCTTACAAGCCTGAATTCTGATTCTTTTAATTAAGTCTTTCAAGTTTCTGCCTCTGTGTTACTGACCAAAAACTCTTCTCAATTTACAGTTTTATAAAAATTTGTTGGCAATATTTTAAAAACATCTTAAAATAATTTTATACATGTCATTTATACATTACAGAAATATTCAGCCTTCTCCATCGGAATGTCAGTTTCTATTACATACATTGCTAACTGTTTTTCAGTCTGTTCTTTCTCCCAAGTAAAGAATGCACATGCACCCCGGAGAGGGGAAAACCAAGTAAATTCCATTAATGTATCTATGCATTAAAAAAAAAAAAAAGTGACGCTTGATTTACCTGGTTCACTGCGAAGATGATCTGACTGTATACATCACTCTGTGTGTAAACTGCATACGTGTCATCTGGTTGGTTCACATATTCTTTTAGGAAGAGGTGTTTGAATGCTATCGTGTTATCTTCCTTGAAAGCTACCACCATCTGGTTACTTAGCCCAAAATAGACCAGCTTAAGGGGGGGAAAAGAAAAAGTTAGAGGGTAAAAAAGCATCAAAATAAAGGTCTCCGTATAATGATTAATTTATCTATTCAACATTCAGTGTCTAATTAATCCCAAATATGTTCCATGAAAATTAATCTTTGGTAGCTATGAATTAGTTTGTCCTTAAAGATAAGGTAGGTTTCTAGTTGTAAGGTAAAAGGAAGTGGTTTTGCATCTTTTCAACATTTTTTTTTTTCAGTGTCTGATCTCATTTATGGCATTGTTCCCATCAAAAGCTTCAGGAATTCAGGTAAGCCCTTCATCAGTACTTCAGCTGTTCCGAGCAGCAAGGTCACTTTTTGGCTACAAAACCGGGAGGTTCACTTAAAGAAAGAATGATAGAAACCCTGAAGTGTGTGCAGAACTTTGGCAAGGGACATTTGAGGAGCTGAGCAGGTAGCCCAGAAGTTAGCACTTTGGAAGGACATAATTCAAGTAGAGGAACAATGAGAAAAAATATTAGCAAAAGAAATGGTACAGGGGCCTGAACAGCAAGTAGAAGAGTGTGATATGAATTCTGTAGGACATCAAGAAGGTCTTGAAGAAGGTATTTCAAATAATGTAAGAAATATCTTAAATAAGTCTAAGTCCTACAATCAAACTGTATTTCTAGCACTAATTACCAAAACTGTGACAATAAGACCCAATATAAAAATATTCTTTCCACTTATCTCTAAATTAAAGTATATTTATATAACATATCCTTACTGTTCATGCAAGATTGGCCCACATTAAACCAGGTGTTCATACGCAAAAAAAAAAAAAAAGTTGTTTTCTGAACAGCTATCATGGTAACTTTACTCCAAGTCTCTTTCACCTTCTCTTCCCTCCAAAACCAACCTCAATCTATATTTCATACACCACACACACACACACACACACACACACACACACACACACACGTCATAAAGGCCTTACTTATTTTTTAAGTAAACTTTCTAAAGTATGTGCACGCAGTTTAGAACATACATTCTGACTTTGATCCCAGAATGAAGCAGGATGCATTGTAGATGGAAAAGGGAGGAACACTGGGCACCCATGTGCCATTATTCTTTTCCAGCTACTTTCCTCACTATAATCCCACAGTATAGTTCCTAATGTACTTATTTTACAAGATGAGTACATACAGGCTCAGAGAAGCTAAATAAATTTTCCAAGTCCCATTACCCAAAAGTGTAGAGTTAAAATTGGAGCCATCTAACAGATTAAATCTAAGCTGCATGACCCAGGTTCTGATCGGGGAAAAATAGGATAGACAAGACTTTCCCCCTTCCTTCTCCCTTTGTATGCCCTATACCCTACACATGTCATCTCTCTCCACCTAACTCAACCCCGTCACTAAGGAGCCTCTTTGAATTCTACCAACTTCATATGATTGTAGAAGCCCTTTTCTTCTAACAATCTTAAGCATTTGTTCCCAATAACCGGTTAAGATTAGTGACTTCAGGGTTTAAACTATTTTTCAAAGTCCTACTTAAATCCCAATAAGATGACAGTTTGATATTCCAGGGATTTCACATCTTTTGAAGTTGATGAGCTAGGTACTGAGGATACAATGATAAGGCAACTGTCCTTGTCCTTACTGGCCTAGAGGCAGACAGGAGGCTGAGACAGAACTGCTGTAATTCAGAGACTGAGCCAGGAAGTGGGGAAGGGAAAAGCTTTAGTAAGGTACCTATCATTGTACACATCTTTCTTTTGTTACCGAGACACAGCATCTCCAACTTAACAAAAATGCCACCTTCTTTTCCTTGAAGAGGAATCTGTTACCAAGTCACCCTTATTGATTAATTGCAAAGTTGTTTTTATGTAATATTTGCTTGATTGCTCAGATATAACTTAAGGAAAACATCTTAATTGAGAAACCGCAGCTCCTTTCAAAAGCTTACCTAAATACCTTTCACAAGTTTATTACTGACGAGCCTAACATTTTAAACCATTGGTCAATTTTTCTCTTGACCTCTCTAGGAAACACAGGAATCTTAGGTAAGCTTCCTAAAAGATTAAGGAATAATTAAGACCATAAATCTTAAAGGGAATAAATCTGAGTTTGATGCCGGGACCGGTTTGGCTCAGTGGTAGAGCGTCAGCCTGCGGACTGAAAGGTCCCAGGTTCCATTCAGGTCAAGGGCATGTACCTTGGTTTCCGGCACATCCCCAGTGGGGGGTGTGCAGGAGGCAACTGGTCATTGTTTCTCTCTCATCAACACTTCTAACTCTCTGTCCCTCTCAATTCCTCTCTGTGTAAAACCAATAAAATATATTTTTAAAAAATCTGAGTTTGAATTTCAGTTCTGCTTTTCGTTTCCTGTCTATGATAGGCTATTTTACCTCACTAAGCCCCAGTGTTCTAGTCTGTGAAGTGGGAATAACACTCTCTCTGATTTGTTTTAAGAACTGAACATGATGATGCCTATACAATGTTTAGCCCAAAACACAGCATTTTCAAGTAGAAAGTATTTATGTTCAACCATTTACTTTTAAAGAGAAATTGTTACTCTCACCAATGGAAAAACAAATGCAATAATTCTACCAACTTCATATGATTGTAGAAATCCCCTTAGCTTCTAACAGTCTTAAGCATTTGTTCCCAATAACCAGTTAAGATTAGTGACTTCAGGATTTAAAATAATTTTTCTCCTTGAATATGAGTTGTTTATTTAGTTACAGGTTGTTGGGAACCTGTAACAACTCTTTTTTGTTGTTGTTTTTGTTTTCACCAAAAAGAGAAAGTACTAATAAAGCATCTCTTTCCCCTATTAAAGTTTACTTTTATTTTTGCCTATTTGCTTTTAGTGAAAGATAATTGCTCTCAGTAGCAGAAAAACATTTCTACACAAGAGTATATCACAAGTATAAATAATCATAAAATTGTATTCCCCCCCCCAAAAAAAATGTTAAGAAAAACCAAGGAAATGAGATTCTTAACATCTCCTAAAACAAGGTGTCATATTTTACTCACTCCCTATGCTACTCCTTTTTAGTTAACTCCAATTCTTCCACTGCAGGACTCCCATAATCACGAAGAATCAAAGTTACTTGCCTTACAGAAACCCTTGAAGTATCTGAAGAGAAAGTCCCAGGAAACTAACTAGGAAGGAAAAGGCTCTTCTGATTGGACAACAGCTAGCTCCAAGGTGGATTCAGAAACCTCTCCACTGGAAGCCAAATATTAAAATTTTCTTTTCCTGAAAACTAATCAGATTATGTGGCTGAAATGATAACTTTAGAAAAGATGAAAAGGAAAAAGGTAAGAAAGAAAAAAACCTAGTCTTCTCTCACAAAAATTTAGGAGAGAAGGGTTTAAAATTTCATGTTTCCTTATTTATTGTCCCCCATTATGCATGCAGTTAAAAGTTATAAAAATCACTGGCTGGCCAAAGCTGGTTTGGCTCAGTAGAAAGGTCCCAGGTTCAATTCCGATCAAGGGCATGTACTTTGGTTGTGGGCACATCCCCAGTAGGGGGTGTGCAAGAGGCAGCTTATCAATGATTCTCATTGATGTTTCTAACTCTCTATCCCTCTTTTCCTCTCTGCAAAAAATTGATAAAATATATTTTATATATATATATATATATATGTATATATATATATATATATATTATACATATATATATATTTAAAAATAAAAAAAACACTAGTCATGGGCCTCTTTGTTATTAAAAGAAGCTTTTAACAAACCTCTCACCTGATGTGCTCACCTGGATAGTCACCATTGCAAGTTTTATAATTTGTATGACAAGTTTCCATGGTTTTCTGCCTCGAGCCCAGAATTTCTCACAAGGATTCATGAAAAAAAATTTGAGTTTTCGCCTCATCTGGTCTTCCAATAGAAGCTCCTCAGAGGGAGATGTGTTCTGGTTAAACGTGCAGCCATTTTCCTCCGGCTGAGAGTTACCGCTATTTGTAACAACCTCAGTATTTGCCATCTCTAGAGGGGAAAAAAACAAACAAAACTGTTTCCATTCTGTAAGTAAAGACACAAGTTTATGTTCTTTGCTATTGCAGGATAGTTGAAGGAGTCTCAATAGAAGATCTGGTTTCAGATAAGTTCCATGGTTGTAAACTGCACTTTAAATGTTTATAGACTGAATTAGAATGTTACATGTCATTTTTCTTTTTGTTTCCATTATGAAATGATTTTTTTTTTTTTACTCAGTTAAACTTACAAAACTCAGGGTCTACATTTAGAAAAGTGTTATATGTACTTACACATATATGGTATGTATGGGCTTTCTGTCTCCTTCAGTGACAGATATAGAGCATGGACTGTGAGCTGAAAGCCCAGGTCAGGGCTTCAGAGGGTAGATGGACCTTGAAATTATATGCAAACATTTTTTTAATATATATGTGGATATGGCCACTTTTCTTCTGGAGAGACTTAAAGAGTTATCAGATTATCAAAATAGTTTCAAACCACTGGGTTCTGTTTGGTATTTAATCCTGGTTCTACAACTTGACACTTTTGTGACATGATCCTCTCTGAGCCTCAGTTTTCCCTTCTGCACAATGAGAACAGGAAGCGCTATCTTTTGATTGCATGGAGCCTTACAAGTAAAAATGCAACCAAAGCCCTTGCATCGGGCCTCACACTAAGCAAGCAGCCTCACTCTCCCCACAGCCCCAGCAGTTTCCTAACACTGCCCACAAGGTTCTTAGCAGCCCTGTGAGCCTCAGGGGACTTGACTGTCCTACAAAGGGAAACAAAGGAGCTCAATTTAAGTCCAAATCCCAGTCAGCCATGTCACTTGCATTTGCCTTTTATTGGAGATTTGATATTTCTGTAGTATATTTTACTTTTCAGAGTAGTTCATAGCTATTATTTGTTTGTTCCTTTGAAAAGGATAATGCTGGTTTTACTGTCTTTATCGTCAGCTTTTCCAAAGTGACCTATCTTGGACTTTTCCCTCAGACTAATAAGGATATTCTGGAAACCTGTTTAAAATAAAATAAATAAAATAAAATACCCCAAACCACCAGGGAGAGTCTTTCCACATAAAAGGATGGCTATGTTTGATGTTTTCCCAATAACTTGTACTCAGAAATGAAAGGAGAATTCAAACTATACATATTAATACAATATTGTGACAATGTTTAGGCACTACACTATTTTTTTAAGCCTAGAATCCCATTTTTGGTTCTGATTCAGACATTCGTAGCAAACACAGCATCTCCAAACAATAGATATTTGCTATACAAACTAGGCATGGGATATGTTTTTAAACTCTTAAAAATATAAATAATAAGAATATTGCTGAATCAATAACAAAGTATATTTATAGTAACACACAAACCACTTCAAAATTAAATAATTATAATAGGACTCATTAAAGTGTGTCTTGTGTGTATGTTAAAATGCCTTTCAAAGTATGAGTATAATAGCTCTTAGGTAAAGACATAAAAGAGAGAAAAAGTTTATCAATACCTCAGGATTTTCACTCAAGAACACAATACTTTTTTCTTCAAAAAAGGTATGATATTTTTAATCAGCATTTTAAAATATTTTACTTATTATAGGGCTTAAAACAAAGATGATTTTATGTTGCTCAAAACTCATAAGAACACCAACACAATGAAGCTCTTAACAATAAGCCATGTTGGTGAATTACAGATTTGAGGTCACATGAAGTTTTTTCTATTTTGATATAGGGAAAATTAAACTTTAAACAAACTAGCCACAGGCCGTGTAACAGTAACCCATAGGAACTAAAGAGAAAATGAGCCAACCCCAATTAACTTATTCAGCACATGGCACCTAGCTGTCCGGGGAACCAGATATTACATGTACAAGTACTGACCGCTAAACTTGCTGCAATCGTTAGCTTTGCCGCATCACAGACGCCCTTCTGAGCAGCGGGCGCTGTGAAAACTGCAACCTGCCCAGACCCCTAGCCTCAGCTGAAGGAGGGCCAGCTGACCCTCCTCACCCCCACCCCAGAGAGCCCAGCGGGAGGCGGAGTGGGGTCCCGAGGGTGGTTATCTCGAGGTATTATTGGAATCTACCAACTCACACACACAGAGGTTATTTATTTAGGGCGATGAAAGACTGGATGGAGCTGCAGACAATTAGAGAGAACTGGGGAATGTGTGCAAATAGCAAAAGCCTCAGGAGGGCGCGGCTCAGCTTTGGGATGATCCCGGAGGCCGTCACGCCCTTCCCGAAATGAGAAAAGATAAAAAGATGAAGGAAGGAAGGAAGGAAGGAAGGAAGGAAGGAAGGAAGGAAGGAAGGAAGGAAGGAAGGAAGGAAGGAAGGAAGGAAGGAAGGAAGGAAGAAGGAAGGAAGGAAGGAAGGAAAGAAGGAAGAAGAAAGAAAGAAAGAAGAAAGAAAGAAAGAAGAAAGAAGAAAGAAGAAAGAAAGAAGAAAGAAAGAAATAGCAAGAAGAACGAAAGACACGAAAGAAAGAAAGAATAAAACAGACGAAACGAACCTAGCAAGAAAAGAGTTATAATAGCTGGGGAGGGGGGTGGGGGATGGCGGTCTGCGTGCGGCCGCTCAGAGATGGTCTGGCTGGTGCACAGCAGCCTCTTTTCACTGGGATATCCCTTTATTAGAGGCGTGTGGGCAGGATGGAAATGGAGGACCAAGTAACGCAACCTCATTTCTTTGGAAGCGCCTAGTCACCTGATCAGACACAAAACTTTAGTCTCTTTCCCTTCCTTCCTTCCTTCCTTCCTTCCTTCCTTCCTTCCTTCCTTCCTTCCTTCTTCATCTCTCTCTCTCTCTCTCTCTCTCTCTCTCTCTCTCTCTCTCTCTCTCTCTCTCTCTCTCTCTCTCTCTCTCTCTTTCTTTCTTTCTTTCTTTCTTTCTTTCTTTTCTTCATCTTTTTATCTTTTCTAATTTCGGGAAGGGCGTGACGGCCTCCGCGATCATCCCAAAGCTGAGCCGCGCCCTCCTGCCGGGCAGTGCGCCCCGAGCCCCTTAGAGCACCCGAGCCCGGCGCAGGGACCCCCGGCTTTGCGCCGCGTCCCCCATTTCCATCCTGCCCACACGCCTCTAATAAAGGGATATCCCAGTGAAAAGAGGCTGCTGTGCACCGGCCAGACCATCTCTGAGCGGCCGCACGCAGACCGCCATCCCCCCACCGCCCTCCCCAGGCCTTCTTCAGCCAGAGGTCCTCAGGTGGCTCCCGGCATCCCCGCCTCCGGCTCCCGGCGGGCAGGGCCCTTGCTTCTGGGCGCGGGTCAGAGCTGCCAGCCCCTGCACCCGGGTCCGGAGTACCCCGGCGGGGGTCGCGCCGATCCCACCCGACCCATGGAACCCCGCCCGACCGGCCCGTGCGCCCACTGACCTCGGCCGGGTGGCCGGGCGGGCGCTGCGCCCAGCACCTGCAGCGGGTACCCCCCTGCCGCCGGCGTCTCCTCCATGGAGCCGAGTCCGGGGCCGACCCTCCCGCTTTAAGTCCCCGGCGGCTCGGACATCGCGGCTGCTGCTCCCTGCGCGGCGGGCGCCGTTCCCAGGACACCTGATGCCTCCGGGCGGCGCGGGGCTGGCTCACCTGAGGCCGCGGCGCACGGGGGCGCGGGGCGGAGCAGCGGGGCGGCCCCGGGTGCACCGTTAGCCGCCGGCGGGAGGCGTTGGGTCTCTGAGCCGCCGGGGGACGACCCTCTGGAAACCTCCGAGGCTCTGCTCAGCCGGGCGGAGCGGGCGTCGGGCCGCCGGGAGCCGCCGCCGGTGGCATCCTCTCTCCTCCCGCCGCCTGACCTCGGCCCCTCCGCCCCGCTGCTCCAGTTCCCTTCCCCGCCCTTCCTGGCGCTGTCTTTCAGGGCGGCGGGCGGGGCGAGGAGGCTGTCCGAGTGAGCCCTGCGTTCTCCGGGCACCCCACCCCTACCCCTCGCTCCTGTCTGGGTCCCAGTGAACGACTCGCACACCCCTCCAGGTGCTGTCTCTGCTGGAGCGGGAGCTGCCGGCGGTGAGGGGGAGTCCTTGGGTCTGGGCTCTCCCTCTCGCTTGGCCGGGACGGGGAGAGGGGGCGGGCGCGAAGCGGGGCAAAGAGCCTGCGGGCCTTGGGGCGCAGACCTCTCTAACCGCTGTCAGTTCTGATGTCTGCATACAGGGACTTACACAGTGTAAGTGTACCCTCTCGAGGCCTTCCAGTTTTGCAAAATCGTTGAGACGTTAATGAACTGTTGGCTAGAGCCTCTAGACCTGTGGTCGGCAAACTGCGGCTCGCGAGCCATATGCTGCTCTTTGGCCCTTGAGTGTGGCTCTTCCACAAAATACCATGGCCTGGATGAGTCTATTTTGAAGAAGTGGTGTTAGAAGAAGTTTAAGTTTAAAAATTTTGACTCTCAAAAGAAATTGATATTTGGCTCTGCTGACTAATATTTGCCAACCACTGGGTCTAGTCTGGCTGCTGGGACAGAAAACGCCCTGGACAGCTCCTAGAAGAAATGGGTCTAAGAATACTTGAGGTAGTGGCAAGGATGCTTTGCTCGGTCAAACTTTAGTCAGGCTCCTAAACTTTCTCCTAGGTGCCTCTGTCCACTTCCTTGTAAAATCCAGTTTTAGCAAAAACACTGCCAAGTCAGTTTACCAGAACTCCTTCCTCAAAAAAACACCGCACCCTCTCCCCAACACACACACACACACACACACACACACACACTCACACACACACACACACACACACACACACACATACACACACACACAGTACTTGATTATCCTCCATATCGAATGGGGTTCCTCATCTTCCGTCATCCCTCAGGCAATGTCTGATCAGCCTGGCCTGCTTTCAGTTAGTGGGTTTAGCTGGAACTTCCCTCACCTGTGTGGTCTTCTCCTAGTAATTTTTCATCCTCTGGACCATGCTGAATTTGGACTTGTGCCCACCTCTCTCCCCCACTGTGAAATCCCATTGCAGTGGTCCCTACAGCTATCTCCACAGGCCAGAGTAAGATCTGCCTTCTAATTTAAACAAGTGCTGTTGAATATTTTTCTTCTTTAAGAGTGGACCTCGAGTCCTGCTGCGATGGTTCAGTGGTTGAGCATGGACAGATGAACCAGGAGGTCGTGGTTGGATTCCATGCTGGGGTTGCCAGCTTGAACCCCAGTAGGGGGCATGCAGGAGGCAGCCGATCAATGATTCTCTCTCATCATTGATGTTTCCATTTCTCTTTCCCTGTCCCTTCCTCTCTGAAATCAATAAAATATATATATCTATATATGTATATATTTTTAAGAAAGAGTAGATCTCAAGCCATAATTTTTTTTTCTTTATGAAATTTTTAAATTAAACCTGAGTTTATCCCTTTACTAGATCAGGAACTTTGATTAATTTAAATCACAACCACTTTGGATATATTTTGACTGATTTTTATTTTATTTTTTTGGCCCCAGGTAAATTTTTTTTTTAAATCACTGAATATTCATAATAGGTAATTCCCCCAAATAATATAAAGAGCTGTCAGGTCCTTTTTCAAAATCTTTCACAAGTCCTAAACCAGTCTGTATGGGTAATTTATAAATGAAATACCTTATCTTGAAATGGGATACAAGAATTGTATGCTGTTCATTAATCTGAATCCCATGCGCTGAAAACAAGAGGTAGTCAAAAGGCTGTAATCAGCAAACTCAATTTGCAAGTGCAATTTGGGAAATATAATTTAATCTCTAATGCCCATATGTCTCCGCATACTTTGACACCATTTCTTTACAATAATAGTGAAGTCATCTTTACAATAGGAGCTTGAAGTGCTTGATTTTTCTAGAACAATCTAAACTTTGGAGAGGTTTGCAAGTATAGATGATAACCCTAATTTAACCCTAGAGTTGACTTAAGTAGATGAGTGAATAGAAAAATTCAGGCTTTGGAGTCAGATGAATTCGGGCCCAAATCCCCTTCTATGCCCATATGTGGAGACATATGGGCATTAGAGATTAAATTATGTTTCCCAAATTGCACTTGCAAATTGAATGTGCCGATTACAGCCTTTTGAGTATCTCATTGTTTCCAGCACATGGGATTCAGATGGAGTGACCTTGGGGAATTACTTAACATCTTCTCCTTCCCAGCCCCTTCTATGTATAACCCATCTAATAATAGGATGCATGCAAAGCACTCATTACTATGCCTGACATATTTTATGTTCTTGTAAATGTTCATTTGGGAGGGGTGAAATTTAAATTAATGAATGAATGAATCAACCATGTTCATGAATTGCAAGACAATATTATTAGGATATTAACTGTCAGCAAATTTATTTATAAAGTTAACCTAATATCAATCAAAGCTCCAGGAAGACTTTTTATAAAAATTGACAAGCTGATTCTAAAATTCATACGAAAATGCAAAGAAACTAGAATAACCAAACCATTTTTTAGCATAAGGACAACCTTTTGGTGCTTGGGACGACACTTCAACTGAGCCACCTGGCTATGGTTCATTTACTTTTTTAACAATGAAATTATTTTGTATTTTCAAAAAATCTATGTCATTTAATGAATATTCAAACACTAGAAAATGCAGCAAACAGGATTGGGTAGTATTCTTATAATGTAACACTCAGATGCCCTAGAAAGATCAACAGTATTCCAAAGAAATATGTTGAAATCACTAATTTTGGGAGTTATTTTGTTTGCAAAACTTAATATTTCTTGAAATAAAATTCTTAATGTTTATTTGCACGAACTAACATGACAACAATGACAAGTAAGACTGACAACTTAGATTTTCACTGCTTCTTTAATGTACTTCTGTCATGCTTCCATAATATTGACCTTAATTTTTGACTCTGCATAGCAGTTTCCTGTCTTTCTTTTGATTTGGTGTCAATATATTCACTTAAGACAATGATTGGTTATTAAGGCTTAATTTTCCCTTTTACATTATTTTTGGCATCTTGGTCTAGAATCAATTGGAGTTAAAATCCAATATATGTATGGATCTATTTCTGGGCTCTCTAGTCTGTTCCATTGTCTACATATATTCTATATGTCTCTATACACATACCAAACTGTCTTGCTTTAGAGTAAATCTTGAAATCAGGGAGGGTAAGTCCTCCACTCATATTTTAATAACTATATGTTTTGTTAGATGGGAACTAGAATCATCAGGGCAATCACTTTGTAATTATAGTAACATCTAATTGCACACCTGAAACTAATATAATATTGTAAGTCACCTGTAATTGAAAAATAAATTTTTAAAAATTTGGGCAAAGGTCTGGCTGGTGTGGCTCAGAGGTTGAGCATCAACCTATGAACCAGGAGGTCATGTTTCAATTCCCTGTCGGGGCACATGCCCTTCCCCACTCAATCCCCAGTTGGGGGAGTGCAAGAGGCAGACCATCAATGATTCTCTCTCATCATTGATGTTTTTATCTCTCCCTCTCCTCTCTGAAATAAATAAAAATATATTTTTTAAATGGGAGCAAAGACTATAGAATAAGAAACCTTATCTGATAAAAAAAAAAGAAAAGAAAAGAAAAGAAAACATTTAAAAAGAAAGTAAACAAGCTTATATAAAGCAATGTATATCCTGGCTGGTTTTGCCCAGTGGTTTTAGAATCAGTCCTTGAACCGAAAGGCTGTGGGTTCAACTCCCAGCCAAGGTCATGTATCCACATTAAATGTTTGATCCCAGCCCCAGAAGCGGGAGGCAACCAATCGAAGTTTCTCTCTCTCGCCCTCTCTTCTCGCCCTCTCTTCCATTCTCTCTAAAAAAAAAATCAATGAGGATTAAAAAAATAATAATAATAAAGCAACATATGTCCTAATATCCAGTCTCATAATGCTTTTGTAATTAATTTTAATAACTGAACCAACATCAAATGGAGAATGAGCAAAATTTTTCCTTATCTGAAATTTTTGTCATAAGACAAAGATCAAATCTATTGGATAAGGCAATTCATGTCTCATTTTGAATTGTCAATTGAAGAATAACTTTCTAAATGTTAAATTTTTTATTCTTAATAATTTTATAATTTATTTTGCATTAATGCTTCCTTCTTTTAATGTTTTTTATTATAAAACTAAAGGCCCGGTGCATGAAATTTGTGTGTCTCTCAGCCCAGCCTGCAATCTCTCCAATCTGGAATCCTTCAAGGAATGTCCATCTGCCTGTTTAGGCCCAATCCTAAACAGGCAGTCAGACATCCCTCTCACAATCCAGGACTGCTGATTCCCAACTGCTCTCCTGCCTGCCAGCCTGATCACCCCCTAACCACTCCCCTGCCAGCCTGATTGATGCCTCACTGCTCCCCTGCCAGCCTGTTTGCCCATAACTGCCCTCTCCTGCAGGCCTGATTGCCCACAACTGCCCTCCCTTGCAGGCTTGGTCCCTCTCAACTGCCCTCCCCTGCTGACCATCTTGTGATGGTCATCTTGTGTCCACATGGGGGCAGTATCTTTGACCACATAGAGGCTATCTTGTGTGTTGGAATGATGGTCAATTTGCATATTACTCTTTTATTAGATAGGATAGAGGCCTGGTGCACGGGTGAGGGCTGGCTAGTTTGCCCTGAAGGGTGTCTTAGATCAGGGTGGGAGTTCCCTTAGGGTATGGGGCAGCCTGAGTGAGGGGCCTGTGGTGGTTTGCAGTATGGCCATGCCCCCTGGTGACCCAAGCAGAGGCCCTGATATCTGTGATTTATTTATCTCCTATAATTGAAACTTTGTAGCCTTGAGTGGAGGCCTGGGGCGGCCAGGGTGTGGGGAAAACTTGGCTTCCTCCGTTGCCAGGGAAACCCAAACCTCCTGCTCTCTC